GCGTTCCTGCTGCTCCGGGCGGCACTGCCAGAGCCCGGCCGCCGCCGTCCGGCCGGCCGTGTTCGTGAAGGTGCTGGGCCCCGCCCGAATCTGTTGTCGTCGGTGGATGAAACCTCCAGGAAATGTTTCCCCGCGCCTCTCCAGCTCACTCAGTTGGTTTGCTCAGATGACCCGAAGCAGGAATCCACATGCATGTCCTCTCTGAGCTGTTCTCCGCATTCAACGTAGCGAAAGCTGCTGACTAGCAATATCAGGAGACTGCAGACTTCTACCGAAGGAAAGTTAAAATAAATCCTTTAGGTGTTTGGTTTCCTGTTCTTCAAATGTTGTCTAGATCTCTCCTTACAGAACAAAACATTACCATTTAACGGAGGTAATATTTTGAACAGTTTTGTAATTGTACATATTTCAGCACATGATAGAAAAAAGATTAACCCAAATACTTCAAATAAAAACTTTGCGTTTGTTATTGTAAAAGGAATAAGACAGGTAATGAGTTACAAGTAGTTTATTGAATGAGAGTTTCTTACTGTAAACACGACATTGTATTCGTTATTTCAAACTAGACTTCTAGGAAGTTTTGTAATTGCTTTCTTTAAGACCCTCAGCATACTTTCAATCACGCAATTCATACAATATGTATGGCGGACATGGCTCAGCACCTGCTATTTTTACCTTGGAGATTATAGTGCTACCTGCACATCAGACCACAGACAGAAAAATTTTTATAATGTGATTTGTAAGGGAGTCACTGACAGTGACCCATAGATAAGCTGATTCATTATTAGCACAGTGCTAATCACATCCCTTCCATAGTAAAATCTGGACTGTCATCCCACATACGTTCCTCCAGCTCTCATATGTGTATGCCCTTTTTATGTGCAGATATTCAATTATGATTATATATTCCTTTCACATCATTTGGAACTAGGCCCACGTGTCAGCATGGGTGCGTTCCACATGCATGAACACATAGGACTGTACCCACAAGGAATACAAATTGACCCAACATTGACAAACACATATAAAAATCACATATTCACATCATCCTATATACAGATCAACACACCAGAAAGATAAATCATTTCGAAAGTAAATCAGGGGATCAGTGAGAGGATGTGGGGCTTTGGGTGGTAGGAGGGGAGAGGATGCGGATGAGAGAAGGGGATGGGCAGAGTGGCCCAGAATGCCCGCCCTGGGACCCACCCACTCACACACCACACAGGGAAGGGGCAGGGAAGGGAGGCTCCTTTACCCGTCTGGGCAGATTTTCTAGAGCAGATTGTCTCCGCATCCCACACCAGACAAAGGGGAAAAGAATGATAGATTGGATGGTACAGTACTCAGTTACTTTCATTGGGAGGAAATGCATGAAAATTTTGAGATGAGTTGGAAATAAAATTAGACGACAGCAGTGATGCTGACTCGGCCAGCATGGAGAAAGAGGACACTGTCCGCCTGCTCTCCTTGTCCATGGTAGCTGCTTGTGAGCATTGAGCCCTGCGAGTAGATTTATAAATGACTTTGAATCCCACTGTCAAGGATGTGCTTTGCAGAGCACTAAAGACCTATGGAAAGCACTGGGAAAAGAAAACTGTAACATCAAAATGGTAAACTTGAAAAATGAGAGGGGTTAGATTTGCATGTTTAGAGGGACAGATAAGTCAGAGAAAGAGCAGAGTGAGAAGCAGATTTAGGAGAGAGGACCAGAGAGTAGGGCAGTAAGACATGCATCATCAGTTACTGGGAGAGAAGACCAAACCCTAAGCATAAGAGAACCTAGGAGATGGGGGCAGCAATAGGGACCCAAAGAAGAGGCCAGTGTTACTGAATCATGAAAGGAGAAGCAGGTTTGATAACTGACTGGGTTAATGCCCAGCACAACTGAAGCAGAGCAGCATAGTGTCAGGCTTGACCTGCTCAGCTACACTTGCTCTTTCTGGATTCTGGTAGATCAGGAGATTTCCTCACAGGCCCTGTGCAGACCCTGCCCTGTGCATTCAGATGCACTGCCAGCCATGTATTCTGAACCTGGCCAGCATCCATGCAAGGCCTGAGCTGTTAGAGAGACGCTGGCTGGATCCTGACCTAGCCTCCTACATGAGTCTTGGCAAGTTACCCGGCTTCTGTGCACCTCAGTAATGCCAGCCTGCGAGGGTAAGTGAGGACTGAGGACAATCACAATGACACGTGTGGAGTGCTGGGCTCAGCATCTGGGGCCTTCTCAGTGAGCAGGAGGAATGATCAGCGTCCTCATGTCCACCACCGCTGCAGAGAGCTCCTGTCACCTGGGGACAGACAGAGGCAGCTGTCATGCTGTGTCCCAGAATCCTCACTACAGAAGGGTCTGCTGTATTTCACATCTCTGGAATTTCCTTTCTGTTAATACAGCAGCACCCTGTTAAAATGATAGGTGGCATCTCCTTGGCTGCTTCCTCCCCTTCTTTATAGCCCCCATCCCCCTCCCGCCCACACACAGCCTTCCCAGGTGTTCTTTTCTCTCCACTCTTGCCCCTGGTGACCTCGCCCATTGCCTTAATGAAGCCGTACTAGGTGCACCCAGAACTGGCAGGTGGAAGAACCAACAGCACTCACCTGTAGGCCGTGCCGGAGCCCATTTGTTTCACTCTCTTTTCCTCTGCCCAGGGGAGGGGCCCCAGTAACTGATCATCTCCTCTTATGTGCCACCTAGCACTCAGTCAGGGCCCCAGAGGGACAGGGACAGTCTCGGAGGCGCAGGCCCTGCTTGCTGGGCCACTCCTTGGTCCAGGAGAGCTGTACTGTGGGTAGGGTGGGCTTCACCTGGGAGGGGGGTTCAGGGATGGTGAGGCTGACACAGGTTTTCCCTCGATGCTGCGTGGCTCAGACAACCCCTGTGACAATGACCTGGTGCCATTGCCTGGCAGTGGGTCTCTGGGCATTTCTTCTCCCCTCCCCACTGGCAGTTCGGACCCACAGTCCACACTCCTGGGGCATACAGGGTTCTGTGCAGGTTCCAAGGGGCCGTCTCTAACTCACCTCTTTCTCACCTACTCAGGAGGGCACATCCAAACTGAATGAATTAGTGACATTTTTGTAAGGACGATCTTGAATGCTATCTGATTAACACATATTTTAAAAGACAATTGGCACTGAGCCTTGCCAAAGCTATCTAAACTGAGCAAAATGATTGGGGTTCTGTGATGGGGTACAGAGAAAAGGAAAATTACAGCAGGTGGAAGTATTCAGAAAATAGTTACTAACTGTGATACAGGGACTATGTATATGCCTGGCCAGAGGCAATTGTTCGTGTTGGGAATTTTGCACTAAAATTTGGTTGTGTTGATATTTAAGGGACAACTAAAATATAATTTCCTATTTCCCTTTCCTTTATAGTTAATAATTACTAAGTGCTAACTGCCTGCTTTATGGAGCTACATGATTCAAATCCCACACAAACCAATTCCAAAAGGCCATTAAAAGTCTGCCTGGGATTTACAGTGAGTATTACTTAACGAAGTAGACCACTAGTTGAGACTTAGGAATAGTTGGCTATACTGCTATTTTTCTTATGACTGGACTCCTAAAAAGCCAATTCTAAAGTCCTCAATAAATCCACATGATGCAAAACCATATACATTTCATAAATTGGTGTTGGTTGGTCTGGTGGTCTAAAGTTATAAAGCCCAATATTGACATCTAATTGGCCCTGCTGATTTAGGACTAAGTAATCTTAGAAAGAAAGGACAATATGTGTAAGAGAGATGTTTGTATCATATTAAATAAATAAATAAACCCTCAGGAAAAAAAGGAATCAATAGAATAATAGGATATCTGCTTGTAGATGAAGATGCAAACAGGTTGCATAAAGGGA